TAGGAATGAAAAGAAAAAATATATATATAAAGATTACAAAATACTTACTATTTGCGTTAAATTAGAATATTCAAATAACACATAGTATTCGGATATGGTAATGCATGCACTAACGTAATATAAACATTAAACTTGTGATTAAACAATATTTCACAAAATACTATCTTAAAAAATCACAAATAGATAGTGTGTAGTAATATATGTGTTGTTATTGTTGTAATGTTATGCCTGATTGCTAGACTTCGTTAATACATATGTCAACATTAAATTCAGAATTATATATATATATATATAGTGATATGTATTATACTGCTTAACGTTTTAATATGTATTTAACTTTTCATTTTTGATATTTTTCTATTTTTGAATTTTTCTGTCAATATGTTAAGATACTCGATGCCTCAATCAAAAAATTGCAATATAATATATATTAGAAATATTTTGCAGCCCAATTGTCCAATTAAAAAAGAGGGCAAATATAAAAAAATGTTTATTAAACGTTTCGACACTTAATGTGTTTCATTAAACCGTGTAAAACAAACATAAAATTTATTATAAACACTAAAATTGTGTAAAAGAACATCATAACTAATATATAATTAATAAAACGACAAAATTAAAGAGAACATAATGCTCTAATTTGAAAACATGTTGACTAAGCAATAGTACAGAGCAATATCAAGTTTTCTATATTAACCCTATTTTTTAAACAGACGATAGGGATGCAAAATAATATTAATAATCTATTTATATAACAAAATTATTAATTGTTTAAATTCGTTAAAATGCCTTAGTAGAATTCAAAAGCATCGCCGGAACTGACCACAATCGATATTTGAGACAAGTTGGACATATTGTCTCGATATACCTTGTCTATTTTGTTGTCTACCCTGATGACACGTGACAGGGACCTAATGACACTTTACCGAACAATGGCAAACGCAAGGTTTCTTGGTTGCCGGGCGTCATTGCACAATTCTTTTTAATCTCAACCATCGCGGGAAGAAGATCTTGGAAAGCCGGTGGATACTCCAGTAATAGGAAGCCAGTAGACACTCAAGTAACAAGTAAGTGCATTTGCCACATGTTAGTAGTATTATTTTTGCTATTGTACCATGTCGTGCAAGTGAAAGACTGTTGTTGTATGGCCGAGTGTATTTTCGCATTAGTGATTTTACGTGAATTGAGAATTATTTGTGGATTCGAAGCTCATACAGGTGTTTTTACTTCTTTCCCATGGGTGCTCCGAATACTCTTCACTACATATTGACAGATTTTGAGGTTAGTTTGGTTTGTATCACATTGTGAAGAAAAATGGCGCGTCAAATATCTTATACGAAGGCTGTGTCTGGCCGAGTATATTTTTGAATTAGTGATTTTACGTGACGGGTTTGACAATTATTTGTGGATTCGAAGCTTATGTAGGAAGTTTACTTGATCTTTTCCAAGGGTGCTCCGAATACTCTTCACTACATATTGACAGATTTTGATTTCATTTTGAGGTTAGTTTGGTTTGTAACACATTGACAAGCGCGCTAAATCCTATGCGATCATAGATGAATATCAAGTGTTTTCATGCAGTTTAAGAATGCAGCCAAGAACCATTGATAATATTGCTTTGATACATGTGGTCGTTTTTCAGTGTTTGTTGTGTTTTCTATATTAACGTATATCGCATCGATTGGAATTCTATCTCAATTGCTAGCAATTATAAAATTTATTTGCTTTAACGATCCTGGCTCGTGATAAAAATTTTGACCCAAAAAAATCGGGTTCGAGAATAATGTGATTTTACTTTGAAATTGAAGGATTTCAATATTTCTTTGAAGTTTTTTGTAAGGAAATTCAGTTCAATTTAGAAAGATTCTGTAATGCCAATAGAAAATCTTCTTTATTGCTAATATCAATTCTTTTTATACGAAACATTTTGTACTTAAATGAAGTTGTCGCATTAATTTTTTAATTTGATGATTTTGAAAACAAAGTACTTTTGCATAAGTGAATGTCATGACCACTATGAAATAAAGGCGTGTGATGTCTTGTATTTAAAACTTAATACATTTAGGTATTCAATAATTATTTATACATTTTAACCTATTTCATTAAGAGTTTTCTGTTGCAATCATAAAAGCCTCGGAATTTTTATATACTCCCCTCGATGGAAAGAAATTTCAGCATATATGTTTAACAGAATTTAAATTCTGTTAAGAATATTTTACTTGAAGACAAAGTATTATCTATCATAATCATGTTACATATTATTGTTGACTGCTGCTACGATGAACCCAGATTTAGTTTCCTAGTCAAAATCTATGGAGGCTATGTCATGTGAACACTGCAAATACTTTTATCTTTTATAACAAAGAATTACTGTAATAATTAGTCAAAGATACATGCATATTTAATTTTAGATACACATATAAAGAGTAATCTAAACTTAGTATTACCTTTTATATTTCAGCTCTGCTATAAAAAAAAAGCTGTCGACAATAAGCAGCAAGTAGTCGACTTGTAGAAATAAGTCGACTCTGGGACGAGAATACTGTGTCATCTTACTACTAGCTTGCTTGCTGCAACAGACTTCTTTGCTTTTGTAACTATAGGTAAGATCACAAAACAAGTATTTTTTATTTCATACAAGTCCAATTATTTGTCATCTTGAGGAACCTAGAGAATAATTACGCTTTTTAATATACACTTGTAAAATACTATAAGGAGAAGATCAATGCATAGTTTTTCTAAAAACGTACTTTAAGCTTCAACTGTTAACTGCTAATGCTTACAGTTAAAATAAAATATGTAAAATTTATCACATATTTATATCTCAAAATAAATTATTATTCAAAATATTTGTACAAGATTTATTGTATGGGCTTTGTATTGATACTTTTTTTGGGTTCAGGTTGCTGATGAACCACAATTAAGGAATGGCAACTCAAACGACAGGATATCTGCTGTGAGGGATCAAAGACTTTTCTCGAAAGGCCTATTTATTAAATGGAATACGCTTTGAGACTTCAAGGTATGTAATTTATTTAATCATTTGCTTATTTATTTATTTATCTTACTATTTTGATATTTGATTCATTAAGAATTTATTTATATTTTTTTCATTTTATTTCATGTTTTTTTATATATTTAACTTTCTGAAGGCGAAGTTTGTTTTTATCAAAGAATCTGATTTGCTATTTTTGTTTTCTCGAAGTTTCAAGCCATTTTGAATAGAATGAGACCAAATATGGAAAAAAATTTTCAATAATGTGTAATAAATCCACTTGGAGTACTACCACTAAAATTTATTTCTCAATTAGATTGTTTACACATATCGCAAAGTTCATGTAATGTGCGGCAAAATACCCCTTACAGATAGTTCAATTTTTTTTTTCACGAGTTTTCTTATTTAGCTAATTTTTTATTTATTTATGCATATAATTGATATTGTTTTACTTATTGTTTATTTTTAATTTTTTTACTTACAAATTTGATAATTTCTTTCCATAGTTTTTCTACGTTATTGTAATCGTCCAAAAATCGAAAATGAAAATTTTTGCATATCTTTACATTTCAAAAGTTTCAATAATTGATGCCTATGTGTTTTGTTCGTGCATACAATTTTTTGTATATGAAAAAAATTGTAGTTTTCGAGAGAACGAAGCTTTTGATGTTTTTTAATTTCAAATCTCAAGTCTTTCTTTAATTTCCAAAAAAGTTTAGTTGAGTATCAATAATCAGGATTTTAATTTTAATTCTAATTGAAATTATAAAGTTTACTTTTACATACTTCAATTATTTTAACTTTGCAATTCAGTTGATTAATTCTTAGAAATATAAGGTTTTTTAATCTAACTCTGTTTGATATTTATTTTTCATATAAACATATATCAACGTGGTCGTCTATAAAATAAGAAAAATGAAATTGACAGTATTTAAAATAATCTATTTGAAAATATTTGATAATGCTTGAATATTTTATTAGAGTATGGAAAGTTCCAGCAATTTGCCTTCAAGCACGACGCCATGAATCACTAGCCTGTTTCTAAAATAATTGATTTATACATTTATCTATTGTTTTAATTATTTTGTTTATTTATATACTTTCCATATCAATTATTTATTCATTTAAGCTTATTTATGCTTTAGTTTCTTTTCAATTTTGCTCGTTTATCGATTTTTTATATAAATTTTGTTTATTTATTTATCTATGTTCATTTATATTTATTTTTAATTTTAATTAAAAAATAATATAATTACTATTATTTATATTGATAAGTATCTAATCGGACCAATTCGAATTTTTTTTTGCGCACTATGTCATTTTTGCCGTGTCAAGTGGCTCCGCCGGCGACTTGATGGTAAACTAAGTCCACGCGGTTGTCAACTCTCTCATTTATGTGATAGACAGCAACGCAAGAGGACCTTCAGGACCAAGGAAAAGGACCCAGGGAAGTACCCAATAATAATAAGTGTGTTATGAAATCGCGAGCAAAATTAAATAGATCATTGTCGGGTTCTCATTCATTCATTCGCGTTTGCTTGCATTGAATTTTAATTTTGCGCAATTTCTTTTAACAATTTGTAACGGCGACAGTAGATTGTGAACGGCATACGTAGTTTAACGCAATTGTATCTATTTTACAGATATAAACTCCTGCGATATAGTATTCAATATCGTTTCAACTCTACCTTGTTAACAAATTATTCATTATGTAATCCCGTGGTTCAGATAATTACTTGCATGATAATATAGTAGTTTGGGGTAGTAGCAGTTTATGTAGGTAGCATTCGTAGTTTTAGTTTAGACTGACACACTAACACAATAATCCACTATTAAACAACCATGTAATAATCTGAACCATTCGATTTAATTATATAATTATTAAATTATTGTCAATTATAAACAACTGCTGCCGTTTGCAATCCAGATAGCATTGCGCCAATTTGTTATTCTGATACGCATAAGTTGTTACATTGATGCATTAACGTTTTTTCATCACTTCTAGTGTGTTCTTGGAAATCAATGGACGAAGTGTGAGCTTAGTGCTCACCATGGAATAGTTCGAATCTGGGATTTATATATTTAATTTCTACTTCAGCTACTTCAGCAGTATGTATTCTTTATCAATCATTAAAAGATGTATTCTAATCTTATGTTTTTTTATTCCAGATTCAATTCTCCACCACTGAACGACCAGCCCTCATTGCCTTCAATCCAGATTCATCTATTAGGCAGGCAGTATGTATCCTTCACCAAACATTTTAAGAGATGCATTCTAATCTTTTGTTTTTTTTTATTTCAGATTCAATTCTCCTGCACTACTGAACCACCAGCCCTCATCGCTTTCAATCCATGAAGCAGTAAGCACTTATCGAGTATATATCAGGCAGGCAGTATGTATCCTTCACCAAACATTCTAAGAGATGCATTCTAATCTTTTGTTTTTTTATTTCAGATTCAATTCTCCTGCACTACTAAACCACCAGCCCTCATCGCCTTCAATCCACCAAGCAGTAAGCACTTATCGAGTATCTATCAGGCAGTCTGTATCCTTTATTCAAACATTTTAAGAGATGCATTCTAATCTTATGTTTTTTTTTTATTTCAGATTCAATTCTCCTGCACCACTTAACCACCAGCCCTCATCGAGTATCAGGCAGGCAATATGTATCCTTTACCAAACATGTTAAGAGATGCTTTCTAATCTTTTGTTTTTTTTTATTTCAGATTCATTTCTCCTGCACCACTTAACCACCAGCCCTCATGGAATTTAGTCCATCAAACAGTAAGCACTTAGCGAGTATCTATCAGGCAGTCTGTATCCTTTATTCAAACATTTTAAAAGATGCATTCTAATCTTTTGTCTTTTATTTCAGATTCAATTCCCCTGCACTACTGAACCACCAGCCCTCATCGCCTTCAATCCATCAAACAGTAAGCACTTATCGAGTATCTATCAGGCAGTCTGTATCCTTTATTCAAACATTTTAAAAGATGCATTCTAATCTTTTGTTTTTTTTATTTCAGATTCAATTCTCCTGCACCACCGAACCACCAGCCCTCATCGCCTTCAATCCATCAAACAGTAAGCACTTATCGAGTATCTATCAGGCAGCCTGTATCATTTACCAAACATTTTAAAAGATGCATCCTAATCTTTCGTTTTTTTATTTCAGATTCAATTCTCCTGCACCACCGAACCACCAGCCCTCATCGCCTTCAATCTATCAAACAGTAAGCACTTATCGAGTATCTATCAGGCAGTCTGTATCATTTACCAAACATTTTAAAAGATGCATTCTAATCTTTCGTTTTTTTATTTCAGATTCAATTATCCACTTCTGAATCAATCGACTCTAATCAGACTGTAAGCACTCATGAAGGATCAGTCGACAATCAACTGCTTGGGTTTTGGAACACTAATTCTTATAAATTTGCACAAGTGGTTCTTTTTGTAACTGTTTGGTCTTGCATGCATGTTCTTACCAGTAGTCTCACTAACTCAATAACAATACTAACATTTTAATAACGTAGTTTGATCAGTTATAATAAAAACCACTTGTTGCAGTTTACTTAGGAACACTTAGTGAAACGGCTCAGAAGAAAACACTTGGTGAGTTACATTTTTATAATGTATTATGGTAGTCTGAATTATTACTAAATAAATGCTTTTATTCACAGGGTAAGCAATGATTGCTTCAGGATGCTTACACACGTGCCTGCATTGGACCTATCTTGCTGTCAGAAACAACATTAACTCAATGGTGTTCTTAGAGGAGATACGTGCTAATGTGTTAGCATTGGAAAGAGCAGAAATTACTTGTGTGTTCAATCAAGGGTTATGACTTGAATACTTGCAATGTATTCATCTATCTATCAAATAAATACATTGTTGTATTAGTTCAATTTGTTGTTTTAATTTCCATTAATTATTTACTTATAAAATAATTTAATTATATTACATAAATATTTAAAACTATTTTAATGTTATAGGTATGATAAAGGAATATCATCTGTCAGATCTGATAGATCAAGACAATGTGAAGTGAACAGCAACCGAATGGCTCCATTGTGAAAACTGCATGTACAGAAGTGCAAACAAATATAAGTATTAGAATATTTTTATACTTATAATTAAGAATTCATCAGTTTTATAGACGAATTTGACATAACTTCAGGCTTTCCTCTGACTTTTCCTCGAATGTCTTGGATTTTGCTCGAATGGCCTGCGGCCTGGTCTATACTTGTATACCCTGGTCTCTGCACTTGTATAGCCCCTGGTCTCTGCACTTGTATAGCCCCTGGTCTCTGTACTTGTATAGCCCCTGGTCTCTGTACTTGTATAGCCCCTGGTCTCTGTACTTGTATAGCCCCTGGTCTCTGTACTTGTATAGCCCCTTGTCTCTGTACTTGTATAGCCCCTTGTCTCTGTACTTGTATAGCCCCTTGTCTCTGTACTTGTATAGCCCCTTGTCTCTGTACTTGTATAGCCCCTTGTCTCTGTACTTGTATAGCCCCTTGTCTCTGTACTTGTATAGCCCCTTGTCTCTGTACTTGTATAGCCCCTTGTCTCTGTACTTGTATAGCCCCTGGTCTCTGTACTTGTATAGCCCCTTGTCTCTGTACTTGTATAGCCCCTTGTCTCTGTACTTGTATAGCCCCTTGTCTCTTAGGCCCCTGCATTTTCCCTCCTATGGCTTCTTGCCCCTTGATTTGTATTCATGTAAATTGTTGACTAATGTTTTGTTCAAATAGTTTTATATTTAGTTTATAGTATTTTAATTGCTGCACAATATTGTTTTATCACAATATTAATAAATCTTTCTTATAGGTTGTATCGAATTGCTAACTTGACTAGTACTGCTGATCGTGCTGTCCCAAAACACTCGTCAAGATTCTACTATGTGTTGCATTGAGAAGCCAATGTCAAGAACCTAAATGTTTGTAATACATTTATCTAAATATTGAATACAATTATTGTTAACCTTCTAAATTTGTGGTTTTATTCATACCATTAATGTTTTCTTTCATTGTGAGTCTTTAGGCGCTCGATCATTTGCTACAGATACAAACATATTAACTCAATTGCTCATGTAATTTTTTTTTTATTCACCACTCACTGAATTACATAAATATTTATGTCTTTGCATTCTATAGGTAACATGGGAGAAATTCATGTATCAAATCTGAGGAATTAAGACCAGAGTGAAGTGACCGGCAACCGATGAACCTCATTGTCATGTTTGGGTGTCTTAGACTTCTGGCCTCTGATGACTTCGATGTCTTTTGTAATTAGATACTTCAAGACAAAGTGAAGTGAACAACAACCGATTGGCTTTCAATATTTATATATATTGAGTATATATTTAAGAATTAGTTAATTTACAAATTTACAATTAGAATTAATTATTTAACATATTGACTCGTTTAATCATGTAATTTTTTTAATCATTATTTACTAAACCATAGATTTTTACTCAATATAAACATGTCAAAAGCTCACATTTTCCTTTCATTATTTAATGTCTAAGTCATGATTTGAATTTTTACATGTTTATATAATAGTAGTAATCATAATTAATAATAATAATGTTTATAATAGTAGCAATTGTAATTAATCTTTATAATAAGTAAAAATTATTAATTATAAATGCTGTTCTATTGTAGTTAGAGTAAGAGTATGTTATAATAATATAATTATTATTTGTAATGTAACGATCTAACTTATATATAAATTTGTGTAATGCCATCAAATAAAATTATTGAACTTCATCTGTAAGTGTTTAATTTAATTTAATTTTTATCAATTTCAGTGATATGTAATTGAACTTGTGTATACTTGCTAATTTATTATCAACTATTAATATTCGAGTCAATTTCAACTAAGCAAATTTAAAGTTCAGTTTAGAAATCCACGAATTGAGTAAAAAGCCATGGATATATATGCATGAGTTTTTAGCATAAAACATTGAAAGAAAAAAATTGTGTTTTTGACACGTTTAATTTGAGTGAAAATCCATGGCTTTTTAAACAGATTGAAGTGGAAAATATTAATATTATAAAAGTTTAGTTTTAAATTAGCTACTAATATGTTGAAATTTTTGTATTATACAATGTTAATAAAATTATTGTAATTATAATATCTTTTAATTGATATTTCATGTTTTTAATTAGCTATATACATTAGTTAATATATGAGCACTTTATTAGCTTGTCTTTGCAATTTTACTTTGAATTATTATTTAATGGCTCAAAGACTAATTATTTATTTCAACAACTCTGTGACAAACAGATTAATTAATAAGTTCAATTTAATTAATAAGTATAACTAGTGTTAGTTAGTTTTACTTAACTAAGAAAAATATATGTATATATGTATTTTTTTAACTTTAATAAATATGAGCAATTTATTAATTTAATTACTTTATTATTTTATTACTTCATTATAAAGGCTAAGATTGTGTTTGCAATTTTGCTCATAATTAAATTAATTATTTGCACAAAGACTTATTTCAACTGCTCTATTGCAATTAGATCAATTAATCAGTGTATTTTAATTAATATGTATAACACGTATCAGTTAGTTTTACTCAACTTAGAAAAAATATTTCCTTAGATCTTACTATTTTTTTGTTTTCTTATATACCGTGTAACTTTAAGAAAAATGAGCACTTTAATTTTTTTGATTGAATAATAATTAGTTCATATTAATTAATACCTATAACTTATATTAATTATTTTTGCTTCTAAACTTATAAAAAAAATACATCTTAAAGACTTAGAATTTTTTTTTCTTATCTGTTATAACTTTTTTTTTAATTTAATTTAACATATTTATTACCCTATTTAAATCCCGGTTGCTAAGGGATTTTTTTAACCCCCTGGGGTTCTGCGGTTCCCTAACCATAGAACCCTGGTTTAAGGTAACCAGAACCCCGAACGTCAGGTAACCGGAATTCGGTAAACCCTGACGCACGGGATCGGGGTCGGATTAGCTACCCTACAATTTTACAATTAACTCGCTTACCTCGATTTTTTATTTTTTACCTTACCTGCGTCTCGAACCTGCTACCATATCCTTCCAATCTTCTATCCCATTCACTCCTCTTAGCCCGCTACTCCATGCTGATCACACCGAAACACCGCCGCAAACTGGCTTATGTAGACTCGATATAGATAAGCCATAAAATAATTCAACCGGCGACGATTTAACAAGTCAAAAGCACGAAAAAAAGCCGAGTTCGTCACCGGTTGTGTGGCGTAACGGTTAGCGTGATGGCTTTGTACCGCAAAGGTAACGAGTTCGATCCCAGGATCGGACGGGAAAAAAAGTTCGTCGTGTTGGCCGGTATACCATGCAAGCGTGCCGGACGTTACGTTGATGTAATTAAGAAAAGCTCCGTGTAGGTGAAGGGGTGAATGAAGAAAACCTTCCCTGCCTCGGGCACCCTCCCCAGGCATTGCGACCTGGCGGAGGGTGCCCTAGCGGATTTCTTCACTTTATTTACTTAACTAGACGGCGGGGGGTCGGGAGGCCCCCCCACGCGGGCGCGGAACCGGTCAATCAAAAACCAAGCCAGCCAGCCAGCCAGCCCCCGAATTCAATGCCACGCGCGCGCGCGCGTAGGGTACAGTATGTACGTACGTAAGGGTACAGTATGTACATTTTTTTTAAAAATGTACTACTAGTACGCGTACTATATTAAAAATGTACTAGTACGCGTACATTTTTAAAAATGTACGCGTACTGTATTAAAAATGTACGCGTACTGTACATTTTTAAAAATGTACGCGTACTGTATTAAAAATGTACGCGTACTGTACATTTTTAAAAATGTACGCGTACTATTTAAAAATGTACAGTACGCGTACATTTTTAAGAATGTACAGTACGCGTACATTTTTAATACAGTACGCGTACATTTTTAAAAATGTACGCGTACTAGTACATTTTTAAAAAAAATGTACATACTGTACCCTTACGTACGTACATACTGTACCCTACGCGCGCGCGCGTGGCATTGAATTCGGGGGCTGGCTGGCTGGCTGGCTTGGTTTTTGATTGACCGGTTCCGCGCCCGCGTGGGGGGGCCTCCCGACCCCCCGCCGTCTAGTTAAGTAAATAAAGTGAAGAAATCCGCTAGGGCACCCTCCGCCAGGTCGCAATGCCTGGGGAGGGTGCCCGAGGCAGGGAAGGTTTTCTTCATTCACCCCTTCACCTACACGGAGCTTTTCTTAATTACATCAACGTAACGTCCGGCACGCTTGCATGGTATACCGGCCAACACGACGAACTTTTTTTCCCGTCCGATCCTGGGATCGAACTCGTTACCTTTGCGGTACAAAGCCATCACGCTAACCGTTACGCCACACAACCGGTGACGAACTCGGCTTTTTTTTGTGCTTTTGACTTGTTAAATCGTCGCCGGTTGAATTATTTTATGGCTTATCTATATCGAGTATACATATGCCAGTTTGTGGCGGTGTTTCGGTGTGATCAGCATGGAGTAGCGGGATAAGAGGAGTGAATGGGATAGAAGATTGGAAGGATATGGTAGCAGGTTCGAGACGCAGGTAAGGTAAAAAATAAAAAATCGGGGTAAGCGAGTTAATTGTAGAATTGTAGGGTAGCTAATCCGACCCCGATCCCGTGCGTCAGGGTTTACCGAATTCCGGTTACCTGACGTTCAGGGTTCCGGTTACCTTAAACCAGGATTCTATGGTTAGGTAACCGCAGAACCTGGGGGTTAAAAAAAATCCTTTAGCAACCGGGATTTAAATGAGGTAATAAGTATGTTAAATTACATAAAAAAAAGTTATAACAGATAAAAAGAAAAAATTCTAAGTCTTCAAGATGTATTTTTTTTTATAAGTTTAGAAGCAAAAATAATTAATATAAGTTATAGGTATTAATTAATGTGAACTAATTATTATATAATCTAAATTAATTAAAGTGCTCATTTTTTTAAAGTTACACGGTATATAAAAAAAGAAAATAGTAAGATCTAAGGAAATATTTTTTCTAAGTATAACTGATACGTGTTATACATATTAATTAAAATACACTGATTAATTTATCTAATTGCAATAGAACAGTTGAAATAAGTCTTTGTGCAAATAATTATTTTAATTATGAGCAAAATTGCAAACACAATAGCCTTTATAATGAAGTAATAAAATAATAAAGTAATTAAATTAATAAATTGCTCATATTTATTAAAGTTAAAAAAAGACATAAAAAATATATTTTTCTTAGTTAAGTAAAACTAACTAACACTAGTTATACTTATTAATTAAATTGAACTAATTAATTAATCTATTTGTCACAGAGTTGTTGAAATAAATAATTAGTCTTTGAGCCATTAAATAATTCTAAGTTAAATTGCAAAGACAATCTAATAAAGTGCTCATATTAACTAAAGTATCTAACTAATAAAAAACATGAAATACCAATTAAAAGATATTATAATTACATTAATTTTATTAACATTGTATAATACAATAATTTCTACATATTAGTAGCTAATTTCAAACTAAACTTTTGAAATATTAATATTTTCCACTTCAATCTGTTTAAAAAGTCATGGATTTTCACTCAAATTAAACGTGTCAAAAACATAAATGTTTTCTTTCAATGTTTTATGCTAAAAACTCATGCATATATATAGCTTTTTACTCAATTC